GCTCTCACGCTGCTGTTCAAGTGCGTTACGCCTCCTCTCTGTTCGCTTTTCTCTCTTTCTCTTCTTCGTCACTGATCGTGTTCGTTCTTCTTCCGCAGTGCTGCTGGCGTCAAACAGCAGATCGCCTCGGGCATGAAGGTGCTGTCCAATAACCAGCGCCTGTACCCCGTCGATGTCGTCAAGTACGAGTGCTTCGGCCAGCCCATCCTGCTCCGCGACGTTGACTTCAGCGTCCAGACGCAAAAGTCGCAGCTCCCTCAGCACTTCTTCATCGTCCAGGTACGGGCCGCGACCACTCCCTGTATCTCCCCCCCTGAATCTCGCTCATTCTTCCCCCCCCCTCGCCACCAGGACCCTGTGGCGCAGATGGGCGTGCAGGCAGCACCCTCGCCCGGGAGTGGCTCGAGCCTGCCCCAGGTAAGCTCTCCGCAATAGGCGCTGACTGACAGACGAGTTCTTACACGTATCCTCTCACCCGGCATGCTGCGCAGCCGCAGTCGCAGCCGCAGCTGACACCACCACAGACCCCGCCGCACCAGCTGGCGCAGCAGGGCCAGCCGATGATGTATGCCGCCGATCCCGCGCACCAGCAGCAGCAGCAGGCCATGATGGCCCAGCAGGCCGCCGCCGCTACCTTGCGCCCGCCCGTGGGCGGCTACTACCCGCCGCAGCAGGGCTACCCGCCCCAGGCCACCCCTCCGCATACTCCCCCTGGTCCCCAGTCTGTACGTCCTCTTCGCCCTTCGTTCGCCGCCTCATCGCACTTCGTTTCTGACCCGTGCTGCATGTCTTGTCGTTGATCGTGTGTCGTGTCGTGTGTTGGTCACAGCAGCAGCAGCAGCAGCAGCAGCAGCAGCAGCAGCAAATGTTCATGCCGGCCATGTACGCCTATCCGGCGACCCAGATGCCGGCCGCCTACCTCCCACAGTACTATCCGGGCTCGCTGCACCAGGTGCCCTACGGCGGCGCCCTGTCGTCGTCCGCGCTCCCCTCGGTCTACGACGTGCAGCAGCACAGCGGAAGCCCGCACTACCCGTCGCCTCTCTCGGACAGCGGCGGCGGCCACACCAACCCGCCGCCGTTCAACCCCGAGTACGCCGCCGCGCACGAGTTCAAGCGCCTCTCCATGTCCGGTCAGCAGTAGTTGAAGGTGACGATGATGCTGATGGTGTCTCAATTAT